CTCCTCGTCTTGCTCGTCCTCCTCCTCGTGGTGTCCTCCTCCTCCTCCTCCTCCTCCTCCTCCTCCTCCTCCTCCTCCTGGTGGTCCTCGTTCTCCTCCTCCTGGTACTCTCCCCCCCCCTCCTCCTCCTCCTCCTCGTCCTCGTCCTCCTCCTCCTCCTCCTCCCTTCCTCCTCCTCCTCCTCCTCCTCCTCCTCCTCCTCCTCCTCCTCCTCCTGGTACTCCTCCCCCTCCTCCTCCTCCTCCTCCTCCTCCTCCTCTTCCTGGTCGTCCTCCTCCTCCTGGTCGTCCTCCTCCTCCTGCTCGTCCTCCTCCTCCTCCTGCTCGTCCTTCTTCTCCTGCTCCTCCTGCTCCTCGTCCTGCTCCTGCTCGTCCTCGTCCTCCTGGTCTTGCTCGTCCTCCTCCTCGTCGTGCTCTTGCCCCTGCTGAAAATGTGGCCCAGGAATGGGAGTTCTGGGAAGTCGAAGAGCACGAAGTTGCCTACAGTTGGCTCCGGGCATTCAAAATGTGGCCCGGGAATGGAGTTCTGGGAACTCGAAGAGCACGAAGTGGCCTACAGTTGGCTCCGGGCATTCAAAATGTGGCCCGGGAATGGAGTTCTGGGAACTCGAAGAGCACGAAGTGGCCTACAGTTGGCTCCGGGCTCCAGAATGTGGCCCGGGAATGGAGTTCTGGGAACTCGAAGAGCACGAAGTGTGTGACTGTTGCATCCGGTTATTCTAAATGTGGCCCGGGAATGGCGTTCTGGGATCTCGAAGAGCACGAAGTGTGTGACTGTTGCATCCGGGTATTGAGAATGTGGCCTGGGAATGGAGTTCTGGGAAGTCGAAGAGCACGAAGTGTGTGACTGTTGGTGAAAAACGAGCCCGGCACCCTGCCGCCCGGCAACTCCCCAACACCTGCCCGGACCCCCCTGTGGAGTGATCTGTGAGCTCTTTTGAGTCAACTAGAAACCTATCAGTCTTCGCTGTTAGGTAAAAATCCTCCCACAACGGTGTCAAAGGGCTTCCAGACAGTCCAAAAGAGCTCCAATATGGTCCAACAGGGCCGCAAGATGGCCCCAAGAGAGCCCCGCTGACAGCCCCAGATGGCCCCAAGACGCCTCCCGAAGCACTCCAAATCGTGACCCGGTCGTTCAGGGAGACCGTGGTTGGTAGCAAGGTGGCCGCAAGAAGCCCCCAGAGGCCCCCAAAAGGCGCCCAGGAGGCCCCCAGAGGTCCCCAAAAAGCTTTTGAGAGGGGCCCAAGAACACCTCCAAAGAGGAGCCCCTGCAATAAAAACTGGGGATGAGGACAAGGAGTGGCTCGCAGACAAGGAAGATTACGAGTAAGAGGAGAGGAAGTATAAGGATAATACATAACATTACTATAACGACGATGGCGCAAACGGCAACAATGAATCACCGCTATATTTGGTTATCCTGCATGCCGAGCTTTAAGAACCAAGGTGCATGGCGCGAAGCGCCAATACAGTCTTGTGTATATATATATACACGTGTATTTATGTATGTATGTATGTATGTTTGTATGTACATATATGTATATGTATGTATTGTTGCATGTATGTATGTATGTATGTATGTATGTATGTATGTATGTATGTATGTATGTATGTATGTGTGTGTATGTATGTATGTATGTATGTATGTATCTATGTATGTATGTATGTATGTATGTACGTATATATGTACATATATATACATATATACATACATATATATATGCGTGTGTGTAGATCCTCCTTTTTTAACTGCCGGAGCGCTGTTCGCACTTCCTCCATCGAAAGATCTGGAATGCGGGTCATGGGTATGTCTGCTCGCGTGCTTTTGCTGATTCCGGCCGCTATCATGTTGAAGATAGCGATAGAGCTGGCCGTAAAGTTTGGCCAATGTATCTGCGATGTTCTGCCCATCGTGTCGCGTGCCGCCCTCTGAGTCCAGCATGTCTGGGATAAGCTCGCTCTCGCGTTGCGACTTGATGCCGGCTACTTTTCGTAAGTCCCCGCATTGCTTGAACATGCGGCTGGCTTCAAGTCTCCAATCGCGTCTCTTGTCTGCTCGAACTGATTTCCACATCTGCTTGCTGAGGAACCGTCTCGCGGATGCATCCTCAAATGGCGTATTCCGTCTCTCCTCCATTGAAACCGACACCGTCGATCTCATAGTCGTCTGGCACTGCTGTTTTGGCATCGTGCTTGCAAACATTGATTTGCAAATTGATCTCTCAATATTCTCGTAATCAGGTCGTCCGCCATCTGTCAGGCATGAGCCATATGCTGCGCAACTTGCTGCTGAGAAATACATGTGTCATCAGGCGGCCACTTCGGCAGTGGGGAAATCGGCAGTGGGAAACATCAGCAGCAGCACCGCCAGCAGCATTATCACCATCACCATCACCATCACCAGCACAACCATCATCATCACCATCATCATTATCGTCATCATCATCATCATCATCATCCTCATCGTCATCACCAACACCATCACCATTGTCGTCATCAACAAAACAACAGCGTCATCATCGTCGTAGTAAACAGCATCTCCACCACAAGAACTGTCACCTCGACTATCACCATTATCTTATCCATCTCCACCAACATCATCGTCCTCATCCTCATCCTCATCCTCATTATCAACATAATCCTCCTCCTCCTCATCATGATCATCACCATCATAACTATCATCAGCAAGCGCTCCCATCGATGCGCGTTGATCGTCATCACCTCATGCTTGTCGTGAGGTCCGCTCCTCTTCCATAAAATTATGCTCAATCGATTCCTAACTTTGGGTGAGTTCCCAGCCTTGCTGCCACCGCCAAGCCTACTCTGAGCTTGTCAATGAGCTTGGGGGGTAGGCCTCTTGAACGGTGTCACCGCCACTTTGTCCTCGCGCCTAGGCCATGGGTCTGGTTTTTCAGTAGTTGGCATGCACTGGCGGGAGTCGACGTCGCTTCGTGTGAGCACTGGTGTCTACGATGCGCGACGGGGGTCTGATTGCGGATGTCCGCGGGCTGGCGCATGAGGTCTGAATTTGCACGCGGCCGTTGCGGCTGTTCTGTTTCAGCCAAGCTAGCACAGCGCAGTGTAGTATCAAGCCTTCACACTAGAGCAGTCGCCCTGGCCATGTCTATGTAGCCAGAAAACCGAATCACTTTGTGATCGGTGATGGATTGAGTCGGTTGACCCGCTGCGTCGGTACACACTTGTGGAAACCATTGCGAGTCACACAGCCGTTGTGTGTTGCGATTGCGACTGCATTTCCAACTGCGCGCTCACTAGTTACCTTCGTGGATGTATGTTTTCGACCACACATCTAACATTGCGTCCAGCAAGAGCACTTCACCGCTTGTTGTTTACTTAAGTGCTGCACATCTTGCGCAGTACACTATTGAGCGCAATGCTCATTCTGTACACTTGTGCGTGCCAATGAGCTCCTCTTCCTCATCATCACCACGATCCTCTTCATTCTCATCCTGCTCACTCATCCCCATCATCGCCCTACCTGCGCTCTTCTACTCCTCCTCACTCTGCCTTCGCACGCCCCTCCGCCTCCTACTCCTAATGACGCGTCCTCCCACTCCTTCTCTTCTTCCCTGGCCCTCCTCCTCTCTCCCTTTCCGGATTCACTTCAACATGATCACCGGCATCAGCGAGAAACCGATCATTGCTGAGATCGCCAAGTACACGCCGCCGAAGATCAAGAACAGGGTGACAGTGCTTGACCACAAACTGTCCCTATATGCATTCGGATTGGATGACCACGCCAGGAGTAGATAGCTCGGGGCATCCTGCAGTATGAATGTCGTTAGAACCGCTCACGGTGTTTTTGAAAATCAAGTCATTATTCTCCAGCCCTGAAGCGGTACGGACATGGAGTGTGCAACAAACACATTACGCGACTGTGGATTCCAACAGAAACGGGAGAACACGCGCGTTTTGAAACATGGCCCACCAGAGATCACCCGATACTTGGAAACAAAAAACGGCACTGATATGATCAACTCCGTTTGCCAGAAACGGAAGCGGGACACCACATACTGGAAACCGTGCATATCGGCACGGGAGCGGAAAGGATCGCAGAAGAGAAACTCAGCTGCACTGTCACAGGCACGAGGACATTAACCTAGTTAACTCAAAATGTAAAGTTTGCAAACATGTGACGGACCGCCTTGAGCGCTTCCAAAGACATCTAAGTCCTCTGGGTCACCCAACTCCGCGATTCGCGCGGCGCGAATCGCAAGTATCTTCGCGCTCTCGCGCGGCCCCCCTGGAGACCATCAACTCGCCATGGGTGAATGAGGTCCTGTAGGCTGTACGCGCTGTTCGCCCCGGTGATGGCATGGCGGAAGCCCTCGCTGTTCTGCATGGCTTGCGGTTGCATAAGTGCGCCGCTCGCGCCCGCGATGGTCGCCTCGCCGCAATAAAAGTTGCCCCGCGCCTCGCAGCAGTCGGTGCCCGCGACCCAGAAGCTGATTGTGCTGAGCTTGCCGCCGTCCTGCGATACGACCGGCGCGACGCAGTACATCGTGGCGGAGGAGGAATAGATGTCGGTGTAGCCGAAGGCGCGGGACTGGTCCACGGCAGTCCCGTTCACGAACATGAAGGTGGCCCCGTCCACGCGCCCGGCCGCAGGCTCGGAGGCCAGGACGTTGAAGTACGAGGCGCCCATGCTGAGGCGCCTGTACTCGCTCAGGGTCTTCACCGCCGCGTACACCCCCACCACCAGCCCAATCAGCACCGCGGTAATGCAGAGCAGGCCCAAGACGACCTCCGCGTTGTTCCCGAGCTTGTAGTGCCAGTTGATGAAGGCCACGGAGAGCCCGATCATCACCGTCGGGACGAGCCACATCGCAGCAACCTGCGGCGGCGAGCAGGAGGACCCAGGGTCAGCGAGGGCAGCCGTCTCAGTGGGCGGCGGGCCTCCCAAGGGGGGAAGCGGCCCCTCCAGGGCCGCGCGCCCCGCGCGCTCGAGCAGACGGGCGAGCGGCCTCCTCTCGGCAGGCCGTTCCCTCCCTGTATGGGCCCTGTCCCACCCACCCCCGCTGCGCGCGCCGCCCAGGCACCTGCCCGTGCGACCCGGCCAGCAGGTAGCAGACAAGGATGAGGAGCAGGCACGTCCACGGCACCAGGATGAGCTCCCAGATGTTGACCTTCGGCGGCGAGGTTGGCGCCGGCGGCGGCGACTGCCGCAGCGACAAGGACGAGAAGCATGCCGACGACGACCACGACGACGACGACGACCCCCTCAAGAGTCTGCCCCGAAGCTATCCTGGGATGCGTTCTGACCATGATCCCGAGGGGGATCCAGCGTGGCAACAGAGAGCCGACGGCGGCCGCGGCGCCAGCGACAAGGACGATGATGATGATCACCACCACCAAGGCGACGACGATGACCACGACGACGACGACCGCGACCACGACCACGACCATGACGTCGACGCAACGACGACGAGGATCACTACCACCACCATACCACGAGGACATCGACGAAGGCGGCGACGACGAGGATGAGGACGACCACGAGGACGACGACGTCGACGACGCAACAGCAACAACAATCATTTTAAGATTGTTCGCTCCTATATGCTCGCGTGTCACTCAATGCGCATATCCCAAGCCCTAGATGCCCGCCCTCTTCGTCTTCGATCGCACCCCCTTTGGGGGGGTATATTCATTCCCTGCCGCGCGTGGTTGGTGCAGCCCTTGAAAACGAAGGGTAGCAGATAACGAGGGATAGTGAGGACGAAGGGATCGGGGGAAGTGAGGGGAAGGGCCAGAAGGAGGGAGGACGACGATTTGCGCTGCGATTGGCGATCCAGCTTGCGCCATGGCTCGCGCCAGCCACTCCAACACACGTTAACGATAAGTTTCGCCATGGGTCGCGCCATAAACAACACCACGCACAACCCCCTTGAAAGAACACATAGTGGATGCCGCCACGGGGGACGCACAGCTGGGAACTGGTGTCCAATAAGTTGCGCGGAACCCTCAAAAAGAACGGGATGTTGAAAGATCGGGGCGGAAGGATCGTGAGAAGTGCAACCGCGTCGAGAGGAGCGCGGGGATGTGGAGTGGATTGGGATGGGGTGGGCGAGAGTAGGGTCTCAGGAGGAAGAACGGCAAGGGGTGGAGCAGAGGAACCGGGGGGGGAGCGGAGGAGCGGGGGGCGCGCGGGGGAATCTGGAGGAGGGAATGGGAATAATTTGGGAGAAATGCGGAATGCGAGCGGGAAGGGGTGGAGATTGTTGGGGTGGGATGGGGCAGTCCGGGGGGGAGTTGGCGGAATGCGAAGAACTGAAGATAGCACAATGGAATACGAACGAAATGAAAATGATGATAAAGGGAAAAAAGCAGAAAAGACTGGGAAAGATCGTTGAACAGTGGGGGCAGGTGGGTACGAACGGAGACTGGTGTGGAAACGACGCGCGGGGGGATTGGAAGGCACCCGGAAGCCTCCTATGATCTCTGGGGGGCCTCGGAATGGCCCCGATGACCACCGAGCAGTTCCAGAGGCTCCGAAAACCTGCGGGAACGCCCCGGGGGCCTCGTCGACGGAGGCCTTCATTCGAAGTTTGCAGAAGAACCTGGGCCAGTGGGTCTCAAAGGCCGGCAAACCGGGCCCCGGCAAACGGCGGACCGTCGGCCTGGCCAGTGGCAGCGCTGGCGATGCACACACCGACCCGCGGCAACCCGACCCCAATATGGACAGACAGCGGGTTCACCACGACGACGACGACGACCACGACGAGAGGAGGGAGGAGGAGGAAGAGGAGGAGCACCTCAGAGGAGGACCACGACGACGACGACCACGACGAGAGAAGGGCAGCAATGGGGCCACGAAGGGCGCGAGCGAGCGGGGGCCATGAAGGGCACGAAGGGCAGCGAAGGGACCACGAAAGGCGCGAGCGGCGGCCACGAAGGGCATACATATATGGGGCGAAAAAGGGCGACAGCGGGGCCACAGAGGGCAGCAAAGGGGCCACGAAGGTCTCGATGGGGACCACACATGGCAAGCAGAGCGACGAAGGGCAGCAATGGGGCCACGAAGGGCATGCATATGGGGCCACGACGGGCGCGAACGAGCGGGGGCCACGAAGGGCATGCGTATAGAGGGCCGCAGAGGGCAGCGACGGAACCACTGAGGACAGAAATGGAACCGAAAGGGCAGAGAGGGGGCCACGAAGGGCGACAGTGGGGCAACGAAGGGCATGCATATGGGACCTCGACGGGCGCGAACGAGCGGGGGCCACGAAGGGCATACATATATGGGGCCAGAAAGGGCGACAGCGGGGCCACTGAGGGCAGAAAGTGAGCCACGAAGGGCAGCGAGGGGGCCACGAAGGGCGACAGCGGGGCGACGAAGGGCATGCATATGGGGCCACGACGGGCGCGAGCGAGCGGGGGCCACGAAGGGCATTCAATCCGGGGCCACACAGGCCGGCGACGGGGCCGCTGAGGGCAGCACCGGGGCCACGAAGGGCAGCGAGGGAGCCACAAAGGGCGA